TAGAATGTATTTATGATATAAAGAATATGTAGTTTAGCCAAAACTATTATGTTAAAAAAGCAATTGAAACTTAAGTCTATAGTATCGAGTTCTTATGTGATAGAAAAAAAAATTTAAGTTGAAACACTAACATCAACTTTTATAGTATAAAATAGCCATATTAACCTGTTTAATTTGTTTTATTTTAAAGGTTTTTTTTTTGTTAACTGAGGTCCAAGTTAAACATCGCGTTGCGGGCAGTGTTCGCTGAGAACACTTCGCGCAGTGCGAAGTATTGCCTACACTTTGCACTGTGCGGAGTGACGCATTTCGCACAGCGCTCACACTTCGCTCTGCGCGGAGTCACTCCACGTATCGCAGAGTTCTCAAATTCCACGGATGCACGATTTGCTCACACTCCACACTGCATTTTCGTAATACTCTTAACAAAAAATAATCAAATTTCCATGAAAACAATAATATTGTACAATTTATAACAATTTTGTAACAAATACACGTAATTATATATAATAATACCAAAATCTTCATAAAAATTTTATTTTGCTTAAATAATTACATTAATAAAAATTCAATAACACTTCATCTCAAATCCCACCTCAATATTCGCTAAATATACTTGTATTTGTATTTATCATTTTAATATTGAATTTTCGTGTTCAAGAATGGAAAAACTTCTCGTGTATGTTGATTATGAATTTAACCTCTATCTAATTTTCCCAATACCTACAATAAAAATAAAAATAAATAAATAAACTTAAAAAAATATCATTTAATACACAGGCAGAACAAATAAAAATTACTTCATACACATAGCACATATCACATTTTAATCAATTTTTCAGATTTCAACATTATTTAAAAAAAAAAATCAAATCAAATCAAAGTTAGCTGTATTTTTTAGTTCCATTTTCAAAAATTAAATTAAATTTGCATAAAATTTATTTTATATTTATGCAAAATGCATACATATAGCCCAAATATAAACAAAATGCTATTGCGGAAAACCCTAATCTAATATTTTCCTCTGTTCAACCCCAATTCATTTTTTCTTGTAGACAACCAATCAAACATAAGCCCACCTATTTCTTTGAATTAGAAAAATCTGCGAATAGTTCCAGTGTCATCTTTGCATATTTTATGCTTCTTTGTAAGTTATTTTGGTAATTTTTTTAATTTGCTGAGTTCTAGATAATTGTTAACTACTTCGGCTTATATTGGTACATTCTTTTGAATTCATGGTTTCCTTCTTCGTAATACAATTTTTGCGGAAACTTATTTACTAAAAATTTTGGTTTTCTCAAGCTTATTTTATTTGAAATGAATATTTACAACAGAAAAGGTTGATGAAGTTGGCAAACGCCAATGACTATCCTAACAGCGTCGATATTTTACACAATTAGCTATCCATGTTTTTTTTTTTTTTTTTTGTTTCTTTAACTTGTCAGAACTTCATCTGGGTTCGAATCCTACTGAGAGGCTCTAAATGTATTTTTCATTATTTAGCTAATTTTGCTTTAGTGACATGAATAGTTAAACTGTGATGTATGAAAAAAATAACTTTTCTAATTTTATAAAAATATGTTAGTAATTAAGTCTACTGATTATTATTTGACAGACACCTTGTTGTTCTATTACTTACTTTTTCATTTTCTTCTTATATATTAATCTCCATTATTGTTCTTTTTCTATTGAATTGACTGATATGATTCAGGTTCGTCAATCTTGTTGTGGGTTTCGTAATCAACGTTGCTACAAGATTCGCATTATTGACTTTCTTATCCCGTTTTGTTTCTAGATTCAAGATTATAAGTCCGAATGAAACCTCACTGTTACTCAACCCATAGCAGAAAACTATTATCCAGTAATTGTCCCGACTTCAACTTCTTAACTATATTTTACATATTTTACTTAAAGAAAACTAAATATTCATGTAAAGTAAATAAACTTTTTATCCAGTTGGACTATTTGTCGAACTAATGAGACTCATATTTTTCATGAAATATTTGAACTTCACTATAAGACTAATCTTGCCATTTAGAAAAGACTCTCCTATTGTATTCTAAGTATGATCTCAAATACCTAAATATCAATGAGGATCTGAAGAAATCAAATATATTGCATAATTATTAAATTCTTTTATAACATTATGTTTAAATATATGACAATATTATTAAAGTTCAGCTGAAAATTTAGTTCAAAAACACGCTAATTGAGGATACAAAAAAAGGCATCACTTAATCACTCATATTCTCTATTGCTTAACCTTGATTGCCCTCTCTCGCGATCGTACAAAGAAAATCGAAAGAATATAAGGCAATTGAGACCTATAACAGTAAGTATTATCTTCCCTACTTCAATTTCTTCCTCTATTGTTGAATTTGCGATTTTTTTTACTGTAGCCCACCTTTTTTGACTATCCACCTAGACATTTTCTATTTCTTATGTAGTTGGGCTTCCAGGTTTGTTGAAACTTGAAATCTTAACCATTTTTTTTAAAGGGAATCTACAATTTTCTCCAATATCTATTGCTTCATCAGTTCCTGTGCTCAATCCAGCTTCATCAGTCTTCGTCGTAGCTGATTTTACAAGGTGGGCAAAAATTAGAGGTAAGAAACGATGTGGGTTTCTTTTTTGTTGTTTAATTTCGCCTTTTCGTTGATCTATCTTCGTATCTAAAACTATGTATATGAAAGTTTGCATATGCCTTCTTGCGTTCTTCTTGCTATTTGTGATCGAAATTTGCTATCTTCCTATGTATTTAC